TTTAGGTGATGATATTCCTTGCCACAGATGGGCTCTTCCCTGGCTGGGAAATCTCACCTCTGCTCCAGTCTATTGTAGGTGATATTCTCCAATCACTATTACCCACAAAATCACCCCACTAAACAAATTCATCAGACATAGATGGGTACATTATGACCAGGAATTTTCAAGGCATGTATTATGTGTATAAGTATTTTATCTGAATATATGTATTGCACCATGTGTGTACCTGGTGTCCCTGTAGGTCAGAAGAAGACATTATTCCCCAGGGCTTGAGTTATGGATGGTTGTCAGACAGCATATGGATGCCAAGTTTTCAACCTAGGTTTTCCATAAGAGCAAACAGTGCACTTAACTGATAAATCATCTTTCCAGCCCCAACTCTTATTGTATTTTGATAACTAAATGTTGGCAGCAAAACTTCTTTGAAGTATTTTTTTTCTACAAGTCCAAATTCAGGAAGTGCACTTCTAAATAACTTCATTTTTGGAGCTCCATCTTAACCATAGCTTTAGGCCTAAAGAAAGCCTTTTCCAAACAGAATTAACCTATTTTAGATGGAGAGGGCTTTGGTTCAGCAACATGTTAGTGTGTATGTGTGTGGTGGGGGCTGTATGTGGTATGTGTATATGTGAAGTGTGTATGCATGTTCATTAGTGCTAATGCAAACACACTTCAAGAACTAAGCAGGACTTCAATGGTTAGGTTAATTTTGCTTTTTGGTTTGCTTGTCTCTGTTTTACAGTTTAAAGGGACTATCAAAAGAACATCTGATTTCAGGTGTATTTGATAAATAAGTACTCTAGGTGAAAATGAAATTCTATTTTGTTTCTTGAAAGGAAAGATAACCTAAACAAAAGCAATTGCCTCACTTGAAAGTCAAAACATTAAAATTAAAACTAAAGGAATAAAAACTGAGCTAATGAATAAACATGAATTAATTGATAGCTCAGTGAAAAGCAGGATATAGTTACCTTAAGTCAAATGATAACACGCTCCATATATTCATCATGAAAAATCAGGAAACTATGAATTTGTAGGGTGATTAATATGCTACCCTTGAATTAATGCTTCTCATTCATTTCACAATAGCATTAGTTCTAAACCCCATTTCAGAGAAACATATTTTCGAGTCAGCATTGTGCAAACCTTTGTCTTTGGAATGCTTAGCTCTGTGCTATACCCTAGGGGAGAAGCAAGTAAAGCTTAGAACAGTTTCTGCAGAAGCTTGGAACTTCAGCACGAAGGTAGTTCTTGTTGTTGAGGAACCAAAGTGCTTCAGCAAAGAGAAGGCTGCATCCATCCGATGCCAGTGGAATTTAGTGGTCATAGCTATGTCGTGGCCCTGGTCCAGGTAGGCTACACTAGGATCCAGTGTAATGCTGGATTAACGTGTGAGGCCATGGGAGTGGAGAGCTGAGGGAGACTGGCACGAGATCAGCTATTAAAACCAACAGGGGATCGTCAGGAGCAGAATGCATAAAAGACATAATCGTGGGAGCTAGCGAGAGGCTCAGCCAGTAAAGCTCATGCTCGGTAGGCATGAGGATGAGAGTTTAGATCCGCAGAATCCACCAGGCAGTGGACACGTATAATCTCAGAACCGAGGAAACAGAAATGGGAGCCTGGGGGAGCTGACTAGACTAGCTGGGTCAGTGAGTTCTGCTAAAGAACCCAATTCAATAAATGAAGAAGAGAGCAATTAAAGACACCCAACATCAACTTTAAGCCTACACACACACACACACACACACACACACGTTCACACTCATGTAAAAATGCATACACATACATACATACACATCATCTCACATCACCTACAATTTTTTTAAAGTGTCATGAGACTGGCGTTTCCTCTGCTGAGGGCCCACCTTGGGAGACACGGCCTGTGTCCCAGACTAGATATCAACTGTGAGGCAGAGAAACATAGATAGCCCTGAGAGCATAGCCCAGCAAGGCTGGTTGCAGAGAGGCATCCTTAATTTTTGGATAAGACCTCAAGATTGTGAAGCATCTTAGACATTTCTCTGTGGAGTTTGGAAAAAGCTGGAAGAGCTGGTTTGGAAAAGAGACTCCGATTTTAAAGCTAACGTAGGAGAAGTTGTCCTGGCAACCCTGCCTGTCTCTTCATCGTCACGTCAGCCTTGTCCTAGCATAGCAGTTAGTTAATTTAGCCTTCAATTATTAACTAGGAACTAGTCATTATTTGCACTGAGAGTAATGAAACCAAATGAACATTGCAAACCTGTCCTTTAATCCCTCTTCAGTCTATATTCAACAGAAGTTATGATATGGCACTTATTGTGTTAATTGATCTATAATAGCAGTTTTGTTTCCAAATGTAAACATCAGGGAGCTATTCCTAAGGTTCTGAAATCCGAAGGTTACAGTAGTCTGCATTTCAGCGAATTACAAGTCCTTGTTCTTATACCACTCTCCCCACATACCCATGCAAATCTGCACATATAGTCCTACTATATTTTATAATAATTCCCTGAAATGGATTGCCTTAAATATTATTATAGACATGAGCAAGACATTTCAAATACATTATGATCAAAGTTGAAGAAAAATAATATCTAAGTTTCGAAAAAAGAAACCACAACAAAAAAATCCCTTGCTCCAAGTCTTGCCTACCCAAAAAGTCCCACGTGGTTCTCATTTGTATTTTCTCATTTGTTCTTCCAGACCCTCATGTGAATGCATGATTCATACTCAAAGTTGGAATAAAAGGAGAGAAAACTTATTTATCCTCCTTTCGGGAAGAGTATCACAAAAGGACAAGAAATCCTTTCGGTGGTCTCACAAATAGGCTTTCTGATGGCTGGCTCATCTACGTCAGATTGGGGCGGCAGGCAAAGCATCAGCCAGGCAGCTTGCCCAGAGACACACCTATATTTAGCCAAGGTGGTTTGTGTGGCAAGAGGGAGGAGATTTGGCCCTGCGCTCTCTGACTCATCTTGGGCACACGTGTCAGTTTCAGGAACAGCTGGACAATCTCCCACAGAAGACAGAGTCTGATTGTAGCTTTCCTGGGCTTCAGGACTCTCCTTCCCCTAACTAAATTATCAATGAACAAGCTCCGGGAGCCCTGGAACCTTCCATCAATCAGCCGGGTGATGACATTAGTGCTTGCTTTTGGCCTCGCACACTGTTTCTCCTACTTGGAGCCGGAGCCTGTGCTCTATGCCCTGCCTGATTCTACCCCGTGCTGGTAGAAACACCAGCTGAGCACATTTAAACAACGTTGCCTTCAAAGAGACTTTTATTTTCCTGTACTCCTTACACAAAGTTGTAGTTAGCATGCAATACTGTGACACGCAGGATTTCAGGTGATAGCTGGGGAAACATAATTTTTAGAATCCCTTTTTGAAAGATAATGCACAAGAGACAGAAGGGGGTTTGTGAATGTGAATTTTTCTGAAGAACTAGGTCAATAATCAGAGACAACTGAAGTTCCTAGGACCTTGGCTTAGTCCTCTGGGACTATTACTGTGTTCTTTGGGATGAATCACTGAGTTGAGGAACGTGAGTCTCAACTAGACAGGTCAGTAGGACCGGCCAATAGTGATGTGACAGTAAGTAAGAGTCTGAACTGTTTTCTTTGGAACTGAACTCACATTGAAGATGCTACTTTTGATACCTAAGGCAAAGGTTTATCTGTGCCTGCCTTCTCTTTCTGATAACCCTGTCCAAAAGCTTGCCCCGACTTCCTATATTCAAAAGAAGCATTTTCTGAAGAAGCCAAAGAAAAACCTTTGTTTATGAACCACACAAACTCAGAGTCCTAATCTTGCCATTTGTGATTTCAGCTTCCAGGCTGGCTAGCTTAGGGAACTGAAAATCAAGTTGTAATCAGAGCTATATTATTAATTAGTGGTCAATAAACATATGGCTACAAGTAGCCTCATTTGTAAGTGCATCAAAGAGAGTCACAGCCTGCATTCTAATCATGTCTATGATTGCATACACCTCCTGATGATGGAGCTAAGGAGCTTAATTATTTGATCATGAGGGTCCATTGGGAACCTTTAGAAGGCAGTACTATGGGCAAGTGATACACTTTTTTTTTTGAGACAGGGTTTTTCTGTAATATATAGAATCTATCCTGGAACTCGCTCTGTAGACCAGGCTGGCCTCCAACTCACAGAGATTCACCTGTCCTGCCTCCCAAGTTCTGGAATTAAAGGTGTGCACCACCACTGACTGGCAAGTGAAACACTTCTAATGGGAAGAATTAGAAAGACCCTAATTGCATGAGTATCCCCACCTATTGTCAGGTCATAGTGCCTGCCCTCTCTTTTCTCAAGCTCACGAAGTTTGCCTACATATTTGTAGAATCCTGTCAACGCAGAACCTCTGTTAGCGGGATTATTCTTAGCCTGCTCTTGAAGTTCCTCCTTGATGGACTTTTTCCAGCATTAATGCTTTCAGTGACTGAGTGCACAACAGTCTGCTATTCTCATCAACAAAAGGACTTTTAAGTTTAGAGATTAAGTCATCTCCTTTCTTGTCCTAGTTATCATTACTCATGGTTATTCATATTTTACAATTTAATTTCAGGAAGTCTTAGGAGACCCCCTTATCAGTGAATACACCAACCCAGCCACACTCCTGATAAGCTTGTAACCAATGAAAACTTCCAACATGGTAATTTACTCCACTGTCACTGCAGGCATGGAATCACTCTGTGTGTTTTACTACTTAGGTATAGATTATCATGAATTGAATGCTTCCACTCATCTAAAGAGATTTTTGACAAAGGGAAGGAAATGGAATCTAAGGAGGAGACCTGAGATGCGAGCATAAAAGGAGAACCCCCATGCATTTCTGATATAATTTTTCTCTACTTGCATGGTAGATTATTTGGCTAGCATCAAATAATAACTGTCAAATAAATTCTCTACATGGCCGAAATTCACACAAATAAAATTTCAGAAAACTCTATACAGGAAAGCCCAATACGGGGTTCGAGAAAAGAGACTAGAAATGGGTCTTACCCCACAGGCCTTGTGTCTTCAATGGCTCTGTCCACTGGAATCAGGTCACTAAGGTAGACATTGAAGTTTCCTTCTTTCCATCTTCGTTCTGCCTCCTTCTTCTTTCCAGGCGGAACAACCACTGGGCGCCCAAACTGACCCGGAGCATTGGGATCCCTTGGAGAAAGGGTCACATCTATTCTCAGTACACGATGCCTTCCAGAGTTTTCAGGGGTATTTGTGTGGTTTTGATGGTATTGCACAGTCTGGGCCTTGGCAGTCAAGTTTCTTCTTCCTGAATGGAGTCCCCCTGCTAAGGATAGCTTGGCTTGAGACACTGCTCTCTGTGGAGCTAGCAGAGAGGAAGATGTCTCGCTTTGATTTCTGGGGAAGTGTTTCTCTTGGCTTCCACCCAGTAATTTAGGGACGATAGTTTGGGTTTTAGAATCAGGTCCCTCTTTGGTATCTGTTCTCAGGTCCTCCTCTTTGGTTATAACCACAACCTGGCTTTCTGAAATATTAAGTTTCTTCCCTGGTGCCACTTTGGCGCCATCATCTTCTGGCAAGCCTCCCAACTGTGTCTCATTCATAGATTGCTTCTTTAAACGACTTGTATCAGCAATAAACTTAAAAAGAGGTAACACTTTATGGGCTTTGTGTTTTAGTTCTTTGCCCTGAGCCTCAGTTTTCTTTATGGCTATGTCTTCCCCAGATTTCAGGATTGGCGAGTTGGCAAAGTGTGTCTTCGATTTTGTTACTGTCTGTGACTGCTGCTTTGAGCTGTCAGTCCTGACCCTGATGGTCACATTCAGGGTCCTTTCAGATGTTTGCTTTGATGCCTGCCTGCTGAGAGTGTGATTCTCTGGGGCCTCTTGTTTTGTAGTAAAGGCTTCTGTGTGTACTGATATATTGGTCAGTAACGTTCCTCTTGATGCCGCAGATGGGGTCCTCTGTGATGAAACTGTTGTTTGCTTAGGAGTCATGTGCTGGGAGGAGGCTTTAGGTTTGCTGTCTCTCCCATCTGTCTTCTGTACAGTAAGAGGCTCTGGGAGGGTTCGCAGATGTGCAGCGTGCCACAAAGGTACAGCTTTTCCCCTTCCCAAGGGGATCTGCATTTTCCCTCTCCTCTGGACTTGGTCCATATGCTCGTCAACCTTGAATGCATGGTCCTCTGCCTTTCTAAAGTTCTCCTTTCCCCAAACTCCATTCCGGGGCAGCCTCATTCCTGGAATGTTGTTGTAAAGGATCTTCATTTGGTCTGGCTGGACTCTGATCCCTGTCTGCTCCCTCCTCCTGATGTTTTCTTTAAGTATCCCAGTGCTGATCTCACTGAATGAGAGGCGGAGAGCTGCCATGTCAAAGAGTAGCCAGATGACAGAAGCTACAAATATAAATGCCAAGACTCTCCCACTTCCTCGGAAAAACTTTCGGATCTTGTTCATCGTACAAAGGCGTGCTTTGCAGCGTGCCCTCCCTCTGAGTCTGCTTACCTGGAGTGGAGAAAGAATTCAGACAGCAACAGCAGCAGCACCACCACCACCAGCAGCCAGTCCCCCCCTCCTGAACCTAGCAGGAAACAGACGTCCAAGGGGGAAAAGCTCAGCTCCTACTGACTGCCTGTCACTCTCTGCCTGCGTGGCATTTCACTGCAAAGCATGGATGCCTGTTCACTGGCCCTGGCTAAACCCTAGTAAACACTGGCCCCAGGTGACTCCCAGAGCAGTCAACTGCAGCCACAGGATAGTTCACTATATCTTGTCTGGGAGGGCCCATGTCCACCTTCCTTCAAGTCCAAGAAAAGGTGGGGCTCGGAGGGTGCTGCCTGCTGCCGCCTGCTTCTCTCCTCCCAGTTCCCTGCACGCTGTAACTCAATACCACTTCTCAGAAGGAAAACATTTCAAGCCATTACCCAGAAAACTTCATTCAGCTCTCACCTTCTGGGTTATATGAGAGAGTGTGTGTTTTAAGGGCAATTAAACAGAAGGCAAACTAACTTAGAGGGCATGTGTTCCTGGTTTGTAACCCCACCTACCCCACTCGTACTTATTAACCCTGTGGTACCCAGACACTGAAGTGCTTTGCTGGATCAATTAATTCTTGACCTTAATATTTCAGTTTCAGAGGTTAATGGGGGCATCTTATAGCTTCATTGCCAGAGAAGAGTGTTTAGCTATTCAGAAGACTTTCACAAACACACAAAGAGGTACAGAAAAAAAAATTAAGTTCAGTTACTCTTTTTACACTGGTACATCTTTATTTTATTTTTAAACTTAATATACAAACACAATTTGTCATGTTCCTATGGAAGATTCAAGATACTTTGCTATGATCTGAATGCTTGTGTCCCCACCAAATACAATGTGGAGACCAATAGGGTGATATCAGCAGGTAAAGTCTTTGGAAGGTGGTGAGATAAGGCAGAAGGAACCCTCATACACTAGATATGTGTCCTTATAGAAGAGTTCAGTGATCTACCTTGCCCCTTCCACTATGTGAAGGCACAAAGAGAAGGAATCTTGAAGGAACGAAGTGATAAAAACTTACTAGACATCAGGTCAGCTATTCTGGACTTCTCAGCCTTCAGAACCATGAGAAATTAACTGATATTGATTATAGACTATTTAGTCTATGATATTTTTTTTATAGAAACTTAAATGGATTAGGACAGTCACATGCTGTGGGACAATGGTCTATACCCTGTCAATTGTAGTATAATAAAATGCTGATTGGCCAGTAGCCAGTCAGGAAGTATAGACAGGGCAACCAGGGAGGAAATATAGGTGGAGCAATGAGAAGAAGAGAATTCTGGGAAGGGAAAACAGTCAGTCTATAGTCATCACCCAGACACAGAGGAATCCAGACACAGAGCAAACAAGATATAACTGCCTTGCCGAAAAAAAAGGTACCAAGCCATGTGGCTAATACAGACAAGAGTTATGGACTAATATAATTTATAAGAGTTAATAAAAAGCCTGAGCTAATAGGCCAATCAGTTTATAATTAATACAAACCTCTGTGTGTTTATTTGGGACTAAACAGAAGTGGGACCTGGTGGGACAGAAACCTCAGTCAACATACACATGTATTTACTAAGTGATGGATCAGTCATGGCTTTATAATTGTTTCAAGACTTTGACTAGACTCTGAGTGACCCTGGGAATTCAAAATGCCAGTAGTTTCCATGTAGATTTGGCCGTAAAACTACAGGACAGTCCTCTTCTATCTTGTTGCTGTCGCCTGACAAAAGCCACTTAAAGGAAGAAAGCCTTATTTTGGCGCCCAGTGGAAGAGTGCAATCCATCATGGTGGGGAAGTCATGGCACAGGAGACTCAGTCAGGAAGCATAGAAAAAGGTCAGTGGTGGGCTTAGCTTGCTTTTTTTGTCTTGACAACCCAATATAACAGTTTATAGAATGGTACCACCCATGTTTAAGATGGATTTTTCCACTTTAGTTAAACAAATTTAGAAAATTCCTCAGAAATGGGCCTTGTCTCCTAGATATTCTAGACCCTATCAAGTTGAAAATATGGACCATCACCACCCCCAAATTTTGAATAACTTATACGAAGTAGAAATGGTTTGTTTTCTGCTATTATATTTTTTAAAAAATTCCCAGGTCTTTTCAATGTACAGTCAAACTTGTGACGTACTGGTCTACTAGTATCTACCCTTTTCTGACTGTAAGTACTGTCTACATGATAGTTAATTTCAGATATTGGCTTGACTGGCTTAAGACACAGACAGCCAATACACTAACATTTCTGTGGATTTTTGTAAAGATACTTCTGGAATAGACTGGAACTTGAACCAGTGAACTGAATAAGGAAGATGTGAGCAATTGCCACAAGTTCAGAGAAGGCAAGTTTACTCCTCCTCTTCCAGAGATAGGATGTTCATTTTCCCCATAACTCAGAACTTCAAATTCTCTGGCCTTCGGTCTCCAAGACTTACTTCATCAGCTTCTTCAGTTCTTAGGCCTTTAATGTTAGACTAACAATTACACCATTGGTCTCACTGCTCCTGGGGGTTTCCAACTTGAATGGTACCACACTGTCAACCTCCCTACTTTTCTAACTATGGCAGATATATTGTGGGATTGAGTCTCACCATCCATAATTGAGAGCCAGTTCTCTCATTGCATCCTTCATTGTCTGTCTGTCATTTATCTCTCTTATCTGTTTACCCTATTGTTTCTGTTTCTCTGAGTAACCCTCACTATAGTCCCTGGTGGTTAGTGCTAACTGGTAGTTTATTAAAACCTGGACTCACTGGGAGAGGAGCTTGAGGGAGATTTTCATAGCTTAGCTAACTGAGGTGGGAAGACCCACTGTGTGTGTGGGGGGGCATCATTGCATGGGCTAGAACCTGACTGAGTGAAATGGTGAGGGTGAGCTGAGTGCCAGCATGTGTGCAGTTACTGATTACACTTCCCACTAGTGTGGAAATAATGTGACTGTCTTATGTTTCTGCCACCTTGACTTCCAGACAGTGATGAGATTCGCTGCAATTGTGAGCCAAACAAACCCTTTTTCCATTAAGTTGCTTTTGTTGGGATGTTTTATCACAGCACCAAGAAGTGAAGCTATGTTACAACCCTATCTTTTCTGTGAAATTGCTTGTCAGAGTAATGCCTAATAATAACTATGCTTCTCAAGACAACTGAGCAAGGATGTGCACTTTGTCATCGCTAATTATAAAGATTGTGCAGCAGGTCTGAAATTACTGCTCAGGATCTATTTTCTAAGAAATTCTGAGATGGTATGATACCACTTTCTCCAGAGAGCCAATCATCTATCCTTTGAACGAAACATGTGGAGAGGAATTCTGTATTCTTTATTTTTAGGCACTGCCTTCTACACTGGTTGAACCAAGCTTTTACTTTGCCCCTAAGGAGGTAAAACTCTCATGTAACAGTATATTTTTAGCCCCCGATTTTCCTTACTGATCAATAACAGCCTTACTACTCTATGTTAGAATAGCCACATGAGTGGTCACATTAGAGCTGAGATATTTCTTCCTTATAAAACTGCCTGTATTCATTTGTCCTTCTTATGTAGCTTAGGCCCTATGTAATATAAAGACACATAATTACTAACGTTATGGATATCAAAGGTTGTAATGAGCATGGAAAGATAAGTACATTCTGGGTATTGATATACAATATCTAGTATAAAAAAACTCCTGGATTGTGTGGTGACATAGTTCAGTAAATATGGATGGTTTTCTAAAGTCTACCTATAGACTTGAAGGATAAAATAAGAATATAATTATCTCCTCTTGTTATAGTGTAGTCTAGAGAAGAAATATTAGTTGAATGTGCAAAACTGATAAATTAACAAAAGAGTAGAAGTGAAGAAAGACTGCCATGGCTGTGGAAGCTCTTTGTCTTTCTGTGTCTAGGTTACCTCTCTCAGGACGTTTTTTGTTTTTCCTAGTTCCATCCATTTGCCGACAAATTTTCAAGATGTCATTACTTTTTGCCGCTAAGTAGTACTTCACTGTGTAAATGTACCAATTTTTCCTTACACATTCTTTGGATGAGGGGCATCCAGCTTTTGGTTATTACAAATACTGCTGCTAGGAACATAGTTGAGCAAATGTCCTTGTAAGATGATTGGGCATCCTTTGAGTATTGCTGGATCTTGAGGTAGATTGAGCCCCAATTTTCTGAGAAACTGCCATACTGATTTCCAAATTGGCTGTACAAATTCGCACTCCCACCAGCAATGGAGGAGTGTTCCCATGATGCCACATCCTCTCCAGCATAAACTTTCATAAGCATTTTTGATCTTAGCTATTCTGAAACGTGTAAGATGGAATCTCTGAGTTTTTTTTTTTTTTTTTTTTTTGTTTTTGTTTTTGTTTTTGTTTTTCGAGACAGGGTTTCTCTGTGGTTTTGGAGCCTGTCCTGGAACTAGCTCTTGTAGACCAGGCTGGTCTCGAACTCACAGAGATCCGCCTGCCTCTGCCTCCCGAGTGCTCTGAGTTTTTTTTTTATTTGCATTCCCCTGATGTCTAAGGATGTTGAGCAGTTCCTTAAGTGCATTTTGGCCATTTGAGATTCTTCTGTTGAGTATTCTCTGCTTAGAACTGTTACCCCATTTTAAAAATTGGATTATTTGATATTTAATTTCAAGTTTCTTGAGTTCTTGGAGATCAGCCCTTCATCAGATGTGGGTTGATGAAGATTTTTTTTTCTCCATTCTGAAGGTTTCCATTTTATCTTGTTGACTGTACCCTTTGCCTTGCAGAAGCTTTTCAGTTTCAGGAGGTCCCATTTATTAATTGTTCTCAGTGTCTGTGTTATATTCAGGCAGCAGACTCCTGTGTCACCATCCATTTATGCCAGCACTATTTGTTGAAGATGCTTTGTATATTTTTGACATCTTTGTCAAAAATCAGGTGTTCACAGGTATGTAGATTTATGTTAGTGTGTTTGATTCAATTGTATTGAGTCCTGTGTCTGTTTTTATGGTATATAATCTTAGTAATAGAAAAGTAACTAAGACACTATCCAAGTCAGTCTTTCATTGTTTCCTATCTATGTGAAAATATTCTTGGTAACTAATTTCTGCTTTTCGTTTATAATATTTATCCAACTGCTCAACTCTAACTATAAAGCTATAAATGGAAATATATATCTCAGATTGATCATGCTGTCTATTAGTTCTCCATAATTATTTATGCTACAATGTTACATGTCTAATTCATGCTACAAAAGAAAAGCGAGTCTTTTTATTCTTCAAACATGTTCCTATACTTTGCAGAGTCTCTAGAAATCACCAC